GAGCCCAGCAGGTCGAGGTTGTGGTGACCGGGAGCGGCCACTGCACTCCAGTCTGGGCGAGAGAGTGAGACTCCAACTCAAAATAAAAATTAAAAAAAAAAAAGAGAAGAAAGGGGGTACTAAGCCATGTTTCCAGAACAAGATGAGTAATGGAAGAAGGAGGAAACTCTGATCTAAATTACAGATTGCATTTCTCAGGGACGCAACCATTCTATCTCTCCTGGAGGAAAGTGGCAGAGAATCTAAATGCCAACATATTCTTGAAGCCAGAACAAAACACATTAGACAAAGATGAATAATAAAACTCCAAAGACAGTAAATTTAATAATTTACATACAAAAATACGTGCATGCAAAAGCCTTAGGAAATGTATTTATGCAATTCAGATAACCTTTCTTGAACTAAATTCTTAAACTACACATACAGTCAAAAATAAATTATAAATAAATATCAATAAGTAGCTTCGAATGCCCATTTGCCATTAACTTTTAACCTTAAAATCTTTGTCTGTTTCTGGTACAGTCAGCTTTTCTACTGGGTTACACATTCACAAGTTGTTAGACCAGAGTCTCAAGTTCATAGAGGGTTTTGTTGCTGTTTGGTCAATGAAAGGCCGATGTTGCAGGCAACGCAATCTGGATTGGCTCAGAGTAGCAATTTACACTTAGTAAATACACAAAAATACCACAGTCTACTCATTTCCACAGCTACACCAAGTAGGCCCAAGGATAAAACAACCGCCCAACGACGCCCTTCTCCAGAGGGCTTTTAAAAAGACGCCCACAAGGCTAAGGACCAAAAAAAGCAAGGCCACCTCACCTGTCCAAAGGTAACCAATCAAATCAGAGCAGGGCTGCCCTACCGGGCTGGGAAGCCAAGCCAAGCCAAGCCCCAGTCTCCTTTCACCTCCCGCCCCTGCCGTTGGCATCCAAGTAAGGAGGCTCGCGTGTCACAAAAGAGTGTGACATCACCCAGCCCGCCGTAACAGGGCAGTCAGCCTGACCAGGCCCCAGCTCGAGTCTCGGCTCCTGGCCACTCCCCACCCGCAGCAGAGCAGCGATCGGCTGGGTGGGACGGGGTTGACCACAAACCAACGAGGTTTCACTTTCATTTACCTCGGAAGGAAGGGGCAGGGGACGTGTTCGGAATTCAAGCGATCCAGGCTGGGCCAAGGGGTTCTGCGTCTACACTTAGCAGAGGGGAAGGGGGAACAGGAGAGAAACGCGGAGTGAGGGGAAGGAAAGAAAAGAGGCTAAGGAGGGGGCGTTTCGCTATCACTCTGGCGCAGAATGGGGACCCTGACGCACCCAAAGACCCGCAGACTCGCCCCCGCCCCACCCCCCCCCCCCGCTCTGCCACTGCTGCGCATGCGCGGCGCTAGTTCCGGCGCTTCCCTCCCCTCCCAGCTTTCCGGAGTCTGGTTTCCGAGCAGGGCCCCGTTCCCTCGGGGTGCTGTCTGTCCAAAAACGGAAGCTACTTCCACTCTCACTACAGTAACTTCTAACTCCCTTTCCATGTCTCACTCCCGGTTGCTCAGTCCTAGCTTCAGACGTACCTTCTTAAACCGCCCCTCAGGAGACGACCAGCTCTTCTCACACCGGAAGTGCTCTGACTCGCCCAGGTCCTCTCCAGACTCTTTACCCAGCATCCGCCCCTCGAGAGATACCCCGCCCCCGTATCTACCTAAGGCCAATCCTCATTGCCGTTGGCCATACTTCTGCGTTTTCATTGGTTGTCCACGATAAACAACAGCCTCTTACTTCAGAGTCATTCGCTTGTCGATCAAGACTGGCCACCAACCGTCGTCGTAGCAAAAGGTCACCGCCTTCTTCCCGTAGTTAGTAAGGATTGCGCTCTGCCGCTGCCTCTAGTGGAGAAAGCGAAGACCGGCGGGCCCCGCCAGAGACACCTGGCACATAATGGAGCCACGATCACGCGTGATGGGTTGGCGCTAAGTCCCGGGATTCTGGTTTTAGGCCTCTAATGGAATGTTAAAGGGGGAAAGCGATTCGGACAACACAGAGAAAGCGCCCTCACAGAGACCCATTGACCCTGAGCTTCAAATCACCCTTAAAGGCTCAATGAATTCTAGAAATGCGAGGAAACAGCAGCCCCTGTCCTGCATCGGACACTTGGACCCCAGCAGGGAGTTCACTCTCTAAGGCCAAGCGGTGGTCCTGGGGCTGCGGGCGGGCTCTCAGGAGCACCTCCCCATCCGCCTGCTTGGAGGAGATGGGTGATTCTTCATAGTCATCTCTGCCCTGAGAGTTAGAGATGGAATGGGTTGGGTGGGCAAGGGGACAGGGGCGGCGACAACTTGCCCGAGCAGTCGTAGCAGTCCCTTTGGAGACCAAGCCAAGGGAGATTAAAAGGCTGGAGTACCCTCCAAGGGCTTGTCCCCAGCACGAACACCACGTGTGCAATAATTTACAGTAAGGAGTTGTAACGTTGGTCAATATATACTTTTATATGTAAAAGCTTAAAGACTATCAATAATGTTTAAAAATCGGTCAGGTGCGGGGACTCATGCCTGTTAACCCAGCACTTTGGGAGGCCTAGACAGGAGGATTATTTGAGCCCAGGAGTTTGAGACCAGCCTAGAGGCAACATAGAGAGTTTTCATCTCTAATCAAAAAAAAATCAAAAAATTAGCCGGGCATGATGACACGTGAATGAATGATCTCCTGAGCCCAGGAGGTGGATGCTGCAGTGAGCTGTGATTGTGCCACCGCACTCCAGCCTGGGCGACTGAGTGAGACCCCAATTCAAATAATAATAATAATAATTTTTAAAATCTATTTTTGACTAGTTTATAATAGCTCTATAAAAACAGTATAAAAAGGCTGGGCTCGGTGTCTCAGCCTGTAATCCCAGCACTTCGGGAGGCCGAGGCAAGTGGATTGCCTGAGCCTGCAGGTTCTAGACCAGCCCGGGGCAACTTGGCGAGACCTTGTCTCTACAATAAAATAAAAAATAGCTGGGCATGGTAGCGCACATCTGTAGTTCCAGCCACTCAGAAAGCTGAGGTGGAAAGATCACTGGAGCCCAGCAGATCAATGCTGGGGTGGCCGTGAGCGTGTGTGCCACTGCACTCCAGCCTGGATGAAGGAATGAGACCCAACTCAAAAAAAAAAAAACAGTTTAAAATGGTCATCCGAAGAGACAAAGAGTATGCAGTTAAAAAATGTAGATGGAGGAAAAAAGACTTATAGTGGTTGCAATAAATATTATTTTCCTGATTTTTCTTTTTAAATCAGAATCTCACTCATGTTTCTCAGGCTAGTCTCAAACCCGTGAGCTCAACCAACCCTCTTGCCTCCACCTCCCAAAGTGCTGGGATTACAGGTGTGAGCCACTGTGCCCGGCATGGATTTTTTGATATCTGTGGGCTTTGTCAGCATTTCAAAATTTATAATGATCTTCCTCACTCTAAATATTGACTTCATTACATCATTTTGTGTATATTACATAATTTCATTTACTCTAAATAAATATTGACTTTATCACATAATTTTAGAACTGGGCAGTTGTATGTTTCAGGCTCCACAGAGCATAGATCCACTTCTGACCCTCATTTTACGAATGGGACACAGGCCCACAGTCAGAAAGGGTTCTGGCAAAATAATGGAAGAAATTTACATGAGGTATTTGATCAATGAACATTAGATCAGAATCTAGGGTTTAGGAAGTTACTTTTTTTTTTTGGAGTTGGAGTCTCACTCTGTCGCTCAGGCTGAAGTCCAGTGACACGCTCACTCAGGCGATCCTTCTGCCTCAGCCTTCCAAGTAACTGAAACTACAGGCACATGCCACCATGCCCGGCTAATTTTATTTTTTTCAATTGTAGAGATGAGGTCTCACCAAGTTGCCCAGGCTGGTCTCAAACCCCTGGGCTCAGGCAATCCTCTCACCTCCACCTCCCAAAGTGCTGAGATTACAGGTGTGAGCCACTGTGCCTGGCAGAGAATTACTTTTTTTTTTTTTATAGTCAAGAATCTTTATTGCAAATACCATCCACCTATAACTTCAGTGTGAATAATTTGGTATTTCTTGCAAGCTCCATGATCAGTTTTCCTAATACTATCAGCAAGAATAGTACTAGAATAGAATACAAATGTGCAGGGTATGCTTTTCAGTACACAAACCCAGGTATGCAATCAATATAAGTTTATCTTCCATAATGCAACCTAATATTTACTCTGACCCTCATTCCACTAGAATGTAAGCAGATGTATTCTCAGTCTCTCCTAGGGTTTCTCTTCCTGCCTTCACCCTAATTTCTGCCACATTTCAGGGGCCAAAGTGCTGGGGAACAGGGCCTATCTGATTCCTAGTCGTCAATCCACACAGGTTTCTGCAGAGATTTTTATTTTTGTACAAAGTGACCTTTTCAGGTGTAGCAACTCTATTTTCATGCCATACTTAAGGTTCAAAAGACATTGTGTCAGGCTAATATTGAATGATCTGCCTAGAACAATAGTTTGCTAAGAGTTCCCCCTGCACAGTGTTGACTGACACGGGTTATTCCTTCACTGAGCAACTACAAGGTGCCTGTTTTAGGCATGTGTGGACAAGTGAACAAAACACAAAAATCACTGCCTTCAAAGAGTTGAAATTTTAGCAGGAGGAGAAATCTATCTAGACAATAAGAAGAATACGTAAAGTATATTGTGTCAGAGTATAAGTTCTATAAAATAGAGTAGGGTAATTGGGATGCAAAGTTCAGAGAGATGGGAGGGTAAAAATTATAGAGGTAGTAAGCTTCATTGAGAAGTAACACTTGAGCAATAACTTAAAAGGGAGAGCAATAAAATAAGGAGGTGAGGGATTGAGCAGAATCCAAGGAAAGAGTGTTCCAGGCAGAGGAACAGCTAGTACAAAAACCTTACATCAGAGGCATGCCTGGCAAAGGTGAAGAACAGTAGGAAGGGCCGTATAGCTGGAGTGGTATAAATTAGGGCAGACTGGAGTTCAAGGCTGCAGTGAGCTATGATTATGTCACTGCACCCCAGCCTGGGTGACAGAGCGAGAACCTGTCTGTAAAAAATATATAAATAAATAGATGAAGGCAGCATTCTAGGGGATGCAGTGAGACAGGTATTACAGTGGGAGCAGGTTGTGTAGGGCCTTGAAAGACTTAGGGGAGGACTTTGACCCTCTTTGTTCTGAGGAAAATGGGTAACCACTGCTAGGCTTTGAGCAGAGAAATAACATAATCTGACTTACCTTTTTACAGGAACACTAGGTGCTGTTCGAAAATCAACTGTGGATAGCCCAACCACTACGCAGCCGGCTCTAGGGGAGAAGAGGTGTACTTTGCAGGGCCTGATGAACCCAGAGAACCCTCCACCATATCCGGGCCCTGGTCCAACGGCCCCATACCCGCCTTATCTACAACCAATGTGTCCAGGACCTATGGGGGGGCCCTACCCACCACTTCAAGGGTACCCCTACCAAGGATACCCACAGTATGGCTGGCAGGGCGGACCTCAGGAGCCTCCTAAAACCACAGTATATGTGGTGGAAGACCAAAGAAGGAACGACCTGGAACCATCCACCTGCCTCACAGCCTGCTGGACTGCTCTCTGTTGCTGCTGTCTCTGGGACATGCTGTCCTGCCAGCTCTGCTGTCACCTCTGATAGGTGTGCCTGCCCCCATCTCTTCTGATTGCTGTAATAAATGACTAGCTCTGCAGACACCTCTACCTTCAACACTATGGGATTCTAGATTAGTGGGAGCTGTTGCAGTTTAATTCAGTGACTTGATCTTTTTAATGTTCAAAATCCATTTCTTATTGATCTTTAACAATGTGTTAAATGACTCTTTTTGGCCAAAGGCTTAGTTATAAAATATGTATTTATAATTTTAAAATTATACATTCAAAGTAATAGCAAAGTATAACACACCGTGAAATGATTTCTCTGCTAACACCCTGTACGTTTCAGTAAATTTGTCCAAACCTAAAAAAAAAAGAAAAGAA